CAAAATTTTAAAAGCGACACTTTTTTCAAAAAGAAAGTGCCTGTGGCATAGATGGGTTTATATATATGGAAGATGATCGTAACACCTACGCTCGCAACTGATTCTTGGTTTTTTCCAATTTACATTTGTTGACTCCAGAAAAATATGATGTTGGAGGAACGGTTTTATTGCATTTTCTGATGAGCTTAAGAGTGGGTGTGGATAAATACAACGCTATGTCATAATCACATCCACATCCGTCCATTTCAATTTTTTTGTCTTCAGATTTTTGTCGGCAAAGTGATTGCGTCTCAAATATTGCCTGCAGCATCAACAACATGACTTTAATACAATTTACTTCCTTTGATGAATTTTTCGTTCTTCATCTACGTCATGCGACTTGTTAAGCAAGTTGGAATTATTTTTGAATATCATGACGGAGGAGAAAATGAAAAAGGACAATTTTTTGAATTTTTTCTGCGATTCGTAACTATATCTTCCATCCTACATACATTCTTGGCATTCTTGTTTTTCTATATAATACTGATGCTTGAAAGAGAATTTGTCGTTAAAACAAAACCGTCATCTACGTTCTTATACTAAATAAATCTGCATTATGACAGAACATAATGAATGGAATGGTACGTAATAATATTGTTCTACAAATGAAATTTTCATTGATTTTATTACCTTATAGGATCATTATTTGCCTGTTTTGATGATTGTGAAACATGCATTTACGGATATTACTGTGTAGCGTGTTTATTCGGGCAGAATGCCGAAAAAATTGATGGAAGTAATTGTTGTTTCATGTCCTTTATGTATTACAGCCTTGCTGCCGTTTTTTGTCATTGGATTCCACACTATTTTAAACGAACTACTCTTCGACAAAAATATGGATTACCGCAAGATCCAAATTGTCCTGACTGTCCTGCAACAGCTTTTTGCAGTCCATGTGCAATCTGTCAAGAAGCTCGTTTTTTAAAACGTAAATATACATAAACATAAACTAAAATTAATATTATTTTTTTGTCTTTGTATTCTAGAACAGGAACAAAATAATACTAATGCAGTCTATACTACTGTTTCAGGTGCTATGCCAATTACAAATCAACCTCGGACAGCTCATTAAAAAATGACAATAATATTTTTTATTCATGTTAAAACTAATCACTTACTTAATTATTCGAAATTGTTTTGATTGTCAGCTGAGAGTACGGGTATATCACATAAATATCAACCTGCAACTCAAACATTAAACCAGAATTCGTCTTTGTTTTGTTTTCCTTACTTTTGTTAACAAATAAACTTCTAACTGCAACAAGAATTGCTCTCTTCATAGTACATTTAAAATATATATACTTGGATACTCTGATATAAAGCAATAGACAACGATATTAAGCACATTGAAACAGTGAGAAAGTAGTCAAACGTTAAACATTATTTTAAAAAAAAGTGGACTTTGATAAGTTTTGTTGATGATTGACTAAGTGAAATTTAAATACAGATGAAGTAAAAAATGAAACATAGATGAATACAGTAAAAAAATTTGTCAAAATCATCTTGAGAATATGGATATAGATATTGTTCATATTTTACCTACACCCTTATACTTTTAAATTGGTTCTAATATCATGAAAACATAATATTTTGCGATATTTAGAAATCATTTTTTTCTATTATTGATATTGTTAAATTCATCAAATGTCTACAAATTTTATTTTCCTTCGATTTTTAAAGAATTTGGAATAAAGACAAGATTACTTTTCTACATCTATACATCTTTGATCATGCGTCAGGATAATTTTCATATCATTTATTCAGATGTTTTGATCTATTAGGAAATACGAAATCACATAAAAAATTGTTTTATTGTAATACGATTTATTGTACATTAGAGACAGATTGGCTATACTTAGAAAATATGAACTTTGTTTTTCATATGATTATTTTCTATGTCTTGACTTACTTAGTAATTTATTATCTAACAATTATTGTTTTTTAAATTGTTAGAAATTCTTTTAATTATAGTCGCTATAATAACTTTGAATGCATCATAATGATTTTATCAAGTTTCTTTTTATTGATGAATAGATTTATAATTCATGTTATTAACAGTCGTCTAGTTTTCTATTTATGGATTATATATTTCATTAGTATCTAAAGTATGATTATCATATCCACAAGTTATTAAAACTTGTCCATTTGGCAGTACAGATGCAGTGTGTACCCATCGTCTATTTTTCATATTATCAACTGTTGTCCAAATCTCTGTTAATGGATCATATAACTCAGCACTATCTAAAGCACCACCATCATATCCACCCGTAACTAATACTTTTCCATTTATTAATACAGATGCCGTATGATAATATCTAGCATTATGCATACTACCAGTAATTTTCCAAGTTTCTAATAATGGATCATATAGTTCAACACTTTTTAAAGCACTACCATTTGATCCACCAGTTACTAACACTTTTCCATTTGTTAGTACAGATGCTGTATGATAATATCTAGCATTATGCATACTACCAGTAATTTTCCAAGTTCCTACTGATGAATCATATAATTCTGTACTGTTGAGAGCACCACCAGTGTTATATCCACCAGTAACTAATACTTTTCCATTTGTCAATATCGATGCTGTGTGATAATATCTTCCATTATACATATTACTGGTAGATGTCCATGTTTCTATTGATGAATCATACAACTCAGCACTATTTGGAATACCACTAATAGATCCACCCGTAACTAATACTTTTCCATTTGTTAATACAGATGCTGTATGATAATATCTTGCATGATTCATACTGGTAGTATGTCTCCACGTTCCTTTTGATATATCATACAACTCAGTACTTTTTAGAGCAGCATTATTATATCCGCCGGTAATTAATACTTTTCCATTTATCAATATCGATGCTGTATGCTCCCATCGTTTATCAATCATGTTACTAGTTGTTGTCCAAGTTTTTATTGATGGATCATATAATTCAACAGTATTTATAGCGGTATTATCATCTAATCCACCAGCAACTAATATTTTTCCTCCTGGTAATATTGATGCTGTATGTCTATATCGTGGATAATTCATATTACTACTATTAATCCATCCTAAATGAAAATATTTCAATGTATTTATTTGAAATACTTCTTATATTGTAATAAAGTCTATTCAAGTTGGACTAAAAGTTAAGATATGAAAATAAATCATTGTTCTATTTTTCAGAAAGAACAAAAGATGTATCAATTTTTTCGAGTAGAATGAGAGAATCGATGAATAAGTTTAAAAACGATGTTTTCACATAGATAAATTTTGGTTGATACCAACTGTGACGTTTTTCAAACAATATAGAATAATATATAAGAATCAAGTAAAATTTGATATTGAGAAAAAAAAGACCAGTACAGAAATCATATCATTCTATTACTTATTCGAATTAATAATTGAATCGTTTATGACAAGTTCATTGATTCTTTTGATATGAAATAATTACATCTATTTGTAGTAGTAGTAACATTTGAAAAGTCAAAACGTATTACTTAAAAACTTTACCTAAATTCTGAGTAGTAGTGATAGTCGTTGCTTCTGTTGATAGTGTTATTGTTACTGTTGACTGTGATAACGTTGTTGTTGTTGTTTTCATTATTGTTGTCAGTGATGATGATATTGTAATAGTAGTAGCATTCTCTGATTTCTTCGATGAAACACCGACAGATATTAATACCACAGAGAGGATAACTGCAAATATTGTTATAATGATCAAAGAGATGCAAACAAACTTAAACCAACGTCGATGCCACCATTTACGTGATTTGTTATTTTCATTCGAATATTCACTGAAAATTTGGTTATTATGCATACTAACTTATCTATTATAAGAAACTGAAACTCAAAAAAAAATATGAATCAATCTAGGGAATTATTTTTTTTTATATTTGCTACTCTTACAGAACCAACAAAAGATAAAAATGTCTAGTGTTAGAAATATTGCTACACTCTTATCTTTAAATAATATTTTTTTTACATGAGTATGATATTACAATTCTGTATTTCATTTCTAAGTTTTTTCATACCAAATATTTTTGTCTTGAAATACTTTTAATAATCGAGAAATGAAGAATTTTTTATTAACGATATGTATGAGAGTGTGAATACGAGCAATATATCTTCTTTTTACCTACCATAAATAACTATATTTTTTAAAGCCGTTGGAATTTGTTTTATAAAAGAAATTCTTAAGGGTGTGGCTGTGGACGTCGGTAAGGATCATGGGCAAAAGAGAAAATCTCATACGCACCCACACCCATGCTTTTTTTGCATGAAAAAGCATCACCAGTTTCTTGTAAGCTGAATAGATTATATTTTAATGAAAGAATAATTTTAAAAAAGGCGTGAAACGTCTTGTCTTTTCCTCATTCTCATGTAAACTGCCGAAGCTCAAAGGCCACGAGCATGTGTAACGGGTAAAACTCGAAAAATTCGCTTGGTGTGATAGTTGAGACAGCGATGATCACGTGCTAGTACGCATTCAAAACGGTTTGAATCATAGATCTTGTCCCGATGTAGCAATATAAAATGCGATTGAGTAACAAAGCCAGTTTCATCTGGATTGGCTAGAATTTGATTTGGATCTGTAGTGGTATAGAAGCTGAGGGCGAATAGGTCATCTAAGGCGATCAGTTCTTTGATGTAAAACTTGAGTTTGCGCGCATCATGAGGACAATAGGCCAATTTCATTCCATATGGCTGCAGGGCAGCTGACCAGGAAACAGGATCTTGTGTATTTATGTTGCCTTGAAAGTTTTCGGGTTTCGTGCCGGTGAGCATGGCCAGACAAGTGGACACACAGGTGGGACCTTCTTGATGGAGTGGGTGGATGACAAGGTCACGAAAGTAGTGTTCCGCATCTTCTGCTGGCCAGACAAGCGTATTTCTGTCGCTAATAAATGTTGACATGGCTTTGAATGACGAATATATCTGAAAAATATGTCTTTCTTCGTGTAAAACCGAGAAAATAGGTGGGTATGTGTGTAGGTGTAAGCGAATGAGGAAAGGATATCTAAACATAAACCCACACTAGCCTGTCTAGCTCCTCGTCTGGTGTTTTTACAGTCATCGATAAGTTGGGATGACAACTAGATTTTACAAAATCACTACTCAAAAGATAAAGAACGATGACATTTTTTATTCTTTAAAAATAGACATGGAGACAATAATGAAGAAAGATTTTTATTTCTATGAGACTTCTACCTTCTATCATCTTTAGTTTTCTTACAAAAGACTAGTATATATAATAAAAAAACAGTGTATGCACGAGTATGTGCTTTTATATATCAATCTCATTGTTATCAATGTCATAAAGTGGCCACATGTGTTGGTAGTAAAACAGTTCTTTATCCTTAATATTGGTATAAAACCCATTTTTTCTATTTATCTACATAGAAAAAAAATGTTTGTTCAGTCATAAACTTTTCTTTATTCTATAACTATAAAGATTGAAGTCTGGTTGTGGGTGTAGGTGTGGATAGGTAAATTCTATTCTCTCAGCTACACTCACATCCAAACCCACCCTCAAGATGGTATCTCTGACGGTTGATTACTTCGTTGGTTCTGAAAAATATGGATAAGTTTTTCATGAAGAAAAAACAAATAAATTAGATCCTTTTTCTGTTCGAATCAATAACGTTTTGATTTCAGATGAAAGAAAACAACTGTTAACAATAAAAAAATGAAAAGTTTTGTTATTGTTTGTTGATTATTCATTATCACGATTCATAACATCTGCCGCCTCTTCTTCTTCGTCGATCTAGAAAATGAAAAGATAGATTGTATGGGACATATAGTGGTTTGATAAGTATATGATAAAGAAGAAATCACTCAAGAAACATTTAAAATCACGTCGGTGAAACAACCTTCTAAGAGAATAATCAACGTAGCTGAAAACTGTTTTCCATTTATCAAGATTCTACTGAAAAAGTGAATTAAAATAAGTAATTTCATTTCTGCAGTATAAAAATTCTTGATATATTTTATTCGGGTTTATCACCGATTACTATATCTATCATTATTGAACAAGAATTAAGCGGTTAAACTTAACAAATGATTCAACTTACTTCAGTTAATTAAAAGCAATCAAATATAAACTCTCATCAGTTCAAAGACTTTAGAAAACTTTATCTCTCTCCTTTTACACAGTCTCAGTAATTCTCGACATTTTTCAAACTTCATTCGCTCAAGTCGATATCATTAAAACAAACGTCGGTTCAATCTATGTATTGTTGATTTAAATTAGAGAAAAGTGACTTACATGATTCACTGTTTTGAATGATACTATCGAAAGACAAATTGATATGACATTACTATTAATGCGCGAATATCATCCTCAATTCATATCCGTACATGTAAACTATTTAATTATTTGGCTCAGTTAATACTCCTACGTCAATATTTTTGAAGCTATCAGTAATCGAAATCAAGTGAAATTAACTTTGATAGCACTAACCTGCTTTAATCGATCAAGATCGAGAACTTCTATTGTTGCACAGGCAATTATTATTTGTTTTACAGCAAAAATAGTGACAATGATACATGAGCGTCGAGGAGCTGGAAATATGATTTGTGCTGATATAGCAATAGTAAAACCAAGAACTCCGACGATACAACTTCCAACTTTGTCGGCAAATAATAAATGAACAAACTCAGATTAATCTTGTTTTTTCCACATTTCAAATCATTCACCGATCTGTATGATACCTAATGCTAGTCCATACGAGGCAAGTATGTAACGGAAAAGAAATGCAATAAACTTCTAATTGATGTATATAAGTTATGAAAGGTGTAATTGGTATAAATTGTTCGAATAGCACCGAAATGTAATATTTTAGGGTATGGGTGTCAGATAAGAGACACACTCACACCCCATCCACACCCTTATTATGATCAATTTTGATGTTACTACAAAATATTTTGCACTTTGTAATCGAATTTTCTCATGTCGATGCTTCTCAGATCTTACTCTTGTTGCTTGTAGTGTTTTGTTTATTGATCGATTCAAATGGTGGATATTTGCCAATAATTTTTGCAAGGCTTTCGTTTTCTGCGTGTAATCTTTGCACGTTTTGTATTAACTTTTGTCGAGTCATGTACCGAACGATCGATGTTGATGAGTTAGTAGTCATAACTATATAAATATTATGAAACATAAGAACGTTCACTACTCATCTAGCTTAATCCATTTTTCTTCATGTTTGTAAGAGAAAAAAGAAAATATTATACGAGTATTCAGTCAGATTTGATCCATGTCTACTCGATAGGTTTATCAGAAATCGTATTAAAAGCAGTCGATAATCTTGACAAAGATAAAACAAGAGAATCCAGTCAGGTGTCAATTAAATCCCTTTTTCTTTCATTTCCTAGTTAGTTCACTTAAGAGTAGCTTGACAATAGCAAACAAATGATGATTTGTATTATTATTTTCATTGGTTTCTATTAAGAATCCATATAAGATTTTAAAATTTCTGAATAAGAAGCAATTTCTTTGCTAATAAAAGAAAACTTTCCTTCAGATTTCTTATTTCACTCCTTTGAGAAATTAAATGCGTTTATCTGCAGTATTCATCGAAGACATACTTTGTAGACAACACTTAAAAACTATTTTTTAGTAAGAAATACAACTAGAATTGAATGTGTAATTTTTTGTATCAATTATTCTTACCTGTTTTCGATATAAAGACAACGTGACTGTGGAAGGAAACAAAAAAAGTGAAACAAGGGTGAAGTTATCCTTATACGTATATTATCATCCAAACAAGAGAATAAGCAAATGGAAAGGAAAACACCATGCATATTCAACAATACATATACGGGAAGAAAAACAAAAACTATATAATAATAACACCTGTTTATCTAGGTCAATATTACAGTATGTATTTATTAGGTTTATCCCCTTCGAAGTTCTTGATATCGTGCAATTTTATATTGTATTTCATTGAAATAAAACAATTAAGAGTTGCTTATACTTTAAATAAAGAGCAAAAATATACCTAGAACAATATGATTCTTAAAGCAGTATTCCA